GTCCCTGTCTCCCTTGGGACGTAGGAGTGGGGCTGATAATAATACGATATGAGCCTTCTACCAAATTGGGAAATTCAAGGGTGCCTCTTTCAAAATTGTGAAATTTGAAATCCCCCTGTTGAGGGTACTGCGGAAGGGGTTCTACTGATTTAATATTGATTTTATATTGAATATGCATTCTTTCTATGAAAATCTTCTTTGCTCCAGTGTATTATGCAAACAAACCAACTACAGACCCTAAAAGTGCTACTACACCACTTGCACGGTTCGGTTCGATTCATTTTGTGTACAGTACGGTACGATTCTTGCACGGAACGGTTCGTTTTGTAAACGATACGGTTCGCTTTGTGCACGGTACAGTACGCTTCTTGCACGGAACGGTTCGTTTTGTGAACGTTACGGTTCGCTTTGTGCACGGTACAGTACGCTTCTTGCACGGAACGGTTCGTTTTGTGAACGTTACGGTTCGTTTTTTGCACGGTACGGTTCGTTTAGTTTCTGAGGTGTTTAGGGTCTGTATATAGTTATGATGAGAATGGGCGCCTCTTCCAAAATTGTGAATTTTATGGCCCCTGGTTCAGGGGTTCAAGGGCCCGTTTTACAAAAGAGCAAAATTTAACTATGCTTGTTACTCTCTATTTACAAATGTAAAAAAAAACAACCAGTTTTAATCTTTTTAAAAAGAATTTAACAAGATAATTTTAAGCTAGAAATTTCAAACAGAATTATCAATTCTGCAAAATTTTACAATCAACTTAAGCCTTTGATCTTATTAGTCGTAAGTTTTTTTGTAAAGGTCTTAGTAACCAATTTTTTGTAAAGGTCTTAGAGAGGGGCTCTATTTTTTATATTGCTAAAATGCATCAATTCTTTGAAAATCTTCTCTACACCTGGGAATTTAGTAGACAAACTAACTGCATGGTTATGATGAGTAATAAGCCTTTTCCAAAATTGTAGAATATACAGCTCCATTAAGATTTCTGTGGAAAGGGGGACTCTTGGTAATATAGTGAAAGTGCATGAATTCTTTGAAAATCTTCTCTGGTACTGAGTACTTAGCAGATAAACTAAATACATGGTTATGATGAGCAAGGAAGCTACTTTCAAAATTGTGAAAATTGTCACCCAGGATTAGAGTGTTAAGTCGGGGCATGACTGTGGAACACATGACTGTATACTGTGAAAAATGAAATATAGTGATAATGCAATATTTTTTTAAAAATCTTCCTCCCTGTTCCTGGAAATTTAGCAGACAAACTAACTGCAGGATTAGGTATAGTAAAAATGCATCCACTCTGCTCATGGGTATTTAGTAAACAAACTAAATGCATGGCTATAATAAACAAGGGAGTCTCTTCCAAAACTGTAAATTTTATGGCCTCTGGGTTAAAGGCTCTGGTGTTAAGATGGAGCTATGTTGAATCTGTAGTGAAAATGCATTATTTCTTTGAAATCCTTCGTCTCTGCTCCTGGACATCTAGGAGGGAAAAGAGTATATATAAAGCTTAAATAAGTAAGATTATTTTTAAAAGGTTTTTGAAATTCTGCACCATTTGGTCAATTTATCATTTTGTATTCTACTGACAGAAGTTATTCCCCTTTGCTATTCACCTATGTTAGTTAAAAACTGTAAATGTAATTGAAGGGTCAACTGAATAACAGAATTATACAATTTTTTATGACAAGAAGTATTTACTTAATCTTCGGTGGTCAGGTAGACATTCAAATAATAGCTGAATAAAAAAGAGGCCAATGTGAGAGAGAATGAGAAAGGATTTCTAACAGTGCTCAAGAACTATTGTGTTGTTTAGCCCGCATTAGAATAGTGACAATTGGGCAAGTACAGGCAAGTAAATAAATCAATTTTGATATTTGTTCTTGAGCAATAAATCAATTTTGTTGTTGATCCCTGTTCACTATGTTCAAATTTCTCTTGTTTTTGGGCAACATAGCTTTATTTATTGGCGTTTTTCTTTTATTTTATATTCAATCTCTTGATCCTTTATATTGTGACATTATACTCAGGTGACCTTGGACCCTTGATCCTCTGTTCCAGAAATCTTTTGGGAGTGGTTAGTTTAATTTGACAACTAGATCTCCACTAAACATTTCAATCCCCTATGTAAGGGGTTTTCAATATTTCTGAGCGTGATGTTTAAAAAATGCGAGTCCAATCTAAAGGATCAAGATTCGAGTGTCGGATCTTAAATCTTAAAACACGACAGCAACACCATGTTTTTCTTAAAGGTTTTTTGACAATAAGATCCAATGGGTCTCGAATATGTTTCATAGTATCCAGCACTTAAATTTATCCATGTTGTACAAGTCTTCAAAGTTCTAAGCCGGAAGTCAATTGCCTTCATAAAATTCCTAATGCATAGCACAGGTGGATATGGGCCAAAATGCAAACCTGAGAAACTTTAGATCTGATTTTATTTAAAAGAAATTTCTCTCTTTTTCTTCCATGAAAAACTGTGATCAAATAAATATTATAGTTCTTACTCGAAGTGGTATCTGAATCAACACAGCATACGTATGCTTTGATATCAATGTGACTACATTAGAACTGAAGATCTGGAAAAGAGTTTTTTTTTCTCATTTGCTTGTAACAAGATTTGATCTCAATTTTAGCCAACTCTAATACAGGATTAAAAAAGGGAATCGACACAATTTGAAAATGTCTCCAAATTAAGGGTTAAATATTTTGTTACGTCTGCTATGGTCCCATAATTCTTGAAAAGATTAAATTATTCCAATCTATCTTTCTATGTCAAACTAATACTCAACATTTCAGACCCCGGGACAGGGGACTTCGATGTCCCCGAGCCCGATGTTTATTCACATTGTATTATATAGTAGGCCTAAAAACTTGAGGGCTATATCTCGGACACTAGAGATGGTACCATCACCATTTTTTCATACAAGTGGTAACTGACCACTAGTATCCTACCCTCAAAATTTCAGACCCTGGGACTGGGGACTTCAATGTTCCCGAGCCCGATGTTTATTCACATTATTTTATATAGTAGGCCTAAAAACTGGAGTGCTATATCTCGGAAACTAGAGATGGTGCCATCACTACTTTTTTCATAGAAGTGGTAACTGAAACTAGAACCCTACTCTCAAAATGTCAGACCCCGGGACAGGGGACTTCGATGTCCCCGAGCCCGATGTTTATTCACATAGTATTATGTAGTAGGCCTAAAAACTGGTCGGGGGCTATATCTCGGAAACTAGAGACGGTACCATCTCCATTTTTTCATACAAGTGGTAACTGACCACTAGTACCCTACTCTCAAAATTTCAGACATTGGAACAGGGGACTTCGATGTCCCCGAGGCCGATGATTATTCATATAGTATTATATAGTAGGCCTAAAAACTTGAGGCCCATATCTCGGACACTAGAGATGGTACCATCACCATTTTTTCATACAAGTGGAAACTGACCACTAGAACCCTACACTCAAAATTTCAGACATCGGGACAGTGGACTTCGATGTCCCCGGGCCCGATGTTTATTCACATAGTATTATATAGTGGGCCTAAAAACTTGAGGGCTGTATCTCGGAAACTAGAGATGGTACCATCACCATTTTTTCATAGAGGTGATAACTGACCACTAGTATCCTACCCTAAAAATTTCAGACCCCAGGACAGGGGACTTCGATGTCCCCGAGTCCGATGATTATTCATATAGTATTATATAGTAGGCTTAAAAATTTGAGGGTTATATCTCGGAAACTAGATAAGGTACCATCACCATTTTTCATACAAGTGGTAACTGACAACTAGTACCCTTCCCTCAAAATTTCAGACCCCGGGACAGGGGACTTTGATGTTCCCAAGCCCGATGTTTATTTACATAGTATTATATAGTAGGCCTAAAATCTGGAGTGCTATATCTCGGAAACTAGAGATGGTACCATCATCATTTTTTCATAAAAGTGGTAACTGACCACAAGTACCCTACTCTCAAAATGTCAGACCCTGGGACAGGGGACTTCGATGTTCCCGAGCCCGATGTTTATTCACATAGTATTATATAGTAGACCTAAAAAGTGGAGGGATATATCTCGGAAACTAGAGATGGTACCATCACCATTTTTTCATACAAGTGGTAACTGACCACTATTACCGTACCCTTAAAATTTCAGACCCCAGGACAGGGGACTTCGATGTTTCCGAGCCCGATGTTTATTCACATAATATTATATAATAGGCCTAAAAACTTGAGGGCTATATCTCGGAAACTAGAGATGGTACCATCACCATTTTTTTTTTTATAGAAGTGGTAACTGACCACTAGTACCCTACCCTCAAAATTTCAGACCCTATGACTAAGGTTAAAAATTTGAATTGCGAACTGCATTCTAGAATGCAGTTCACTTTTGAATTGCGAACTGCGTTCCAAAATCTGATTGCCGCCTGGGCATGCAATGTGCTTATACTGATGACGCTCATATATTATCGTGTTCTGTTTTAGATTTTAAAACTTTACCCAGTTATGGTCTATATGTTAATATAATGCTTAACACTTGGCAATGTGGAATAATAAAGAAAAAAAAGCGTGTGTCCATAAACATGAGAAAAAAAAAATGTATGAAAAACTCATATTATAGACGTTAAATATAACTAGCTTTACACAATACTGGGCCGTGCGGTTATACAAAGTATTTATACAAAGTATTTACACCTATTATAACATAAGTGTGTATATTTTTAAACATTTACTAAATCATTGTCTTCATTAAAATATGATCGTTAACGTTTGACTGTGTGACCATTATTAAGAAAATAATGACTACAAACTTTATGGAAAATCCTCGTATTTTAGTGTGTAAATTCTGTGGATGATGCTTGTCAAACTTTGCCTCTGTTAGTGTGTTCAAATATCGTGATTCATTTTAACAGACATTTAACAATTTTAAAATGTAATATTTTCCTTTATCCAGCGTTTATTGATTGAATGAATTTAAAACTGCACCATTTTATTTTCAGAATCTTGGGATTTGGTTTTAAACAAGAAAAAATGGAGCATACTTATACTAATTTTGTTGTCAGAGAAGTATAACATTTTATACGAAGCGAAATTGCTGGAAGAGAAAGTTGAACAAATACAACAGACCTTTTTCACACTGAATGGCTCAGACGACGGAATATCCGAAAATGCGTTGCTTTTACAAGAATTGTTAATCAAGGATGAAATACTAACATTGAATAGAGAGAACAAGACACTAGAGTTTAAATCAGAGGATATCCGTCATCAGGTGATGGGATACTTTGTTATGAACTGCTTAAAAACCGATGAGGACTATAACAACTACATCCAACTCTCGTCCTTGGATTCATTGTTTGATTATGTCCGTATATTCAGGTATGAAAGGGAAAAACAAGAAAGGTGTGTGTTCTTACCGAGTACGATGGAGGAGATACTAGTTAGGAGGATTGGAATAGACATCGTAAGGCACGTCACATTGGAAGATGACGGGATGAAAGACACTGTGTGTGTTACTTGTAAGTTTTTTCATAAATGAGTCTGTTGTTTCTTTTTGCCATCTTTAAATGTAGTGCCACGATTGAAAAGAAATATGTTTAGATATAGCTGTGTAGATAATAATATACATTTTTGTTCCTGCTCTCACATCGTAAAAAATAATATTCATTTTCGTTTCTACATTGCATTCTAAACTTGAAACCTATTTAGTAATCAGGCGGATATTGCAGAAGGTGGATATACAATGTCATTTGAGACAAGGTGGACTTCAGTTTTTCTGTTAATTAGGTATCCTTTTCAGTTCTTTGCCCATGACATTGTATAACCACTTGCATCGTTCATAATACAATTGTATAAAGTGGTGTTGAAGAGCAAGGTTTATCTGTGTTTTTCATACCATACTTTACAAATATAATCAGTTTAAGATAAGGGAACAAAAATTGTATTTCTAAAACAAAATGACGATACGTTATTTTTATCTGTATCATGCCTTCTTTTACAATTAAGTGTGGTAGTGAAATAAAAACCCAACTGAAGAAAGTCTATGTGGTACCGATAACACTCTAATTCTATAAATTATTATGACTGTTTCGCAATATGTTTCATTTTATCCGATTAGTATTGACATTTTAAAGGTAAAAAGGGCGATGATTATTAATGATGTTCTCTGTTAGCATGTTGCCCGTCAAACAAAATATGAATGGACATTTTTTTTTTATCAAAGGGAGATAGAATATATAATGATATCTATTTAAGGTATTCAAAGACTGTACTGTCTCCCTCCGTTTGCGTGTGTGTGTTTGTCATTCCCTCTTTCCTTTCTCAAGTAATATTCGTCAAAACAATATATCGACGACAATATATGCCGACGTTGAACGTACACATTGTCGCCGACGACAATATGACTGTACATTTTGTCGTCCATTATACAAGAGGAAAATAAGGCTCGTTTCGGTGCGTATTGTCGTTGGCGACAATCTGTACTGATGGACGACAATATGTGTCTTGAACTTGAAATTCCATTTTGATTTTGTTTCTTGGAAGAGAGTTTTCAAACAAGGAGTGCTGATGTAATACGATAATCTATTTGTTGAACTACTAACTTTATTTGAAATCTTCAAAACATTTCATTTCATTTGCTTTTTTGTCTATATTACGAGCATACTTCTTAAAAACATCTTTCGTTGATCATGAAGAGAAATACGCTGTATTTATTTTTTTTGTACTTTGATGGCTGCATTTTTTTTTTTTTTGATGTCTAAACTATTAGTGTATTATGTCCCTAGAGTTTCTGATCTAGCAATTATTTTTTAGTAAATATTCCAAAGGAGATTCTTTATTGGGACTACGATGCAAGGTGCAGGTACGTACAATGTGCAAAGAAAGGAACACAAATGATGCACAGAGCTCGTGCTATGATTGTTGGATGTGCTGGTGCTGGAAAAACTACCCTGCTAAAACGACTAGAGAAGAGATCTTTTGAGGAATTAAAACAAGTTCAATCAACAGTAGGTCTAGAAGTGCATGAGGATATCTTTGAAATTCTGGAGGACAAAAATTTCTTAAGAGGTATTTATGTTTCACTTGTATAGTCTAAAAGGGAAAACTGTTCTTCATTGATAATTTCACATAGAAACCTATACTCAACATTGTATTCAGTTGGTGATTTTACAGAAAAAATATGTTGATTGGAAATGTTTTTCTAAAGTGTTAAACCCTTTAGGCAAGAAAACTGTTATAATGCTACATTAAAGAAACAATTTATATAATTATTTAAGCAAATAGACATTGATTATCCCCGGTACACTGCTTTCTTTTCATTTATATATAGGCATATTATTCTATTTATAGACACCACAAGATGATTTCATAGTTGTGTGTCTCTTTTAGCCTAAGAATATTGAAATCTGCCTTAACATATACCGCAAAACGTTTTAGCTTACATTAGATAAAAGCTTACCCTGATCAAATTTTCTCCGATGTCTTTCTTTAAAAAGCTTCCTCTCAGGAAGCAAAAATCATTCAACTTAGTCGAATTAGTGTGAAAACATCCCCCATGTAGTGCAAATTGAAGTTGTACATTGAAATATATAGGGAAAAATCGTTTAAAATTTGCAAAAAAAAAATAAATAAATAAATAAAACGAAATAAATAAATAAATAAGAAATAAAATAAAATAGGAACACAATTTCTCATTTTAATATGTTAACATCCCCAGGTAGTGTATATAGAAGCTTGCACGCATTACACATTTTGTTTGCACATGCCCTTGCAGGTTTAAGACAACATCTTTCACAAAAAAAAAAAAATAGTTCAATGTTTAAAAGTATGTTTTGTCTATTAGAACTGAGTTATATGACATCTTCCATCCTCACCACAACTTAAAGTCTATGCATTTCCTTGAACTTGCATCACAATTGTATATGATTCTGCATCAAAATGGTGTCTGTTTTGCTAACTTTATGATACTGATCTTTATTACATTTCCAAGAGTAAAATACTGTGAATTATTTATTGAATAAAAGTTGTATTCTCTCACAGTGTGAAAGGATACCAAAGTGATATTCTCTCACAGTGTGAAAGGATATCAAAGTAAGTAAAAATAATTTGTGGCCTTGAATAAGTTAGATAAAGTAACTAAACGATCTTGAAAGAGACTAAAACTGCAAATTTCCTATCAAATATGTTGCAAATATCCATGTAACAATATTTTCAATCTCACAATCTCAGAACTGCTAAGCTATAATGTCTCAGCTTAACTATGACGTCACAGCCTATGGCACTGTGTTAAGAAAAGAGAGAGGCAAAGGGAAAATCAAAGAAAATGTAATAAATAGAAAATTCAACGTTTTGTAGTTGGATATAAAATTTATTTCACTCGTGAGACAGTACATCTCACTCGAAAAAATATCCAAAAATCATGTCCCACTCGTGAAATAAATACCATATCCAACTACAAAACATTGAATACCCTCTATATCTTTAATCTTGTATATGTCGAGGTTCGAAATGTATATTGCCTTGCGATATATTTAACTTGATATTAAATCAGAAGTAATACAGTTTTTTTAGATACACGATCGAGTATTTATGGAATATTGTTGCATTCTTTATAAGATAAAAATAAATAAAACTAGATGCTGTCATAAGACAGTAATACCCGCACTAATGTGTTTGCCTCTAAATGCAGGCACGTAGCATCAGGGCCTTTCCCCCCCCCCCCCCCCCACCACTTTTTTCAAAACATATAACTTTTTACTATGGAAAATGTTCGTGAAAGGATGGTTGTCTCTCCCCCCCCCCCCACTTTTTGTTGCATTATAGTCAAATAAAGGTAATGTAGTAGTGTATATATAAAATTGGGGTACTGAAAGAAGTTGGAACCCACCCCACGAAATAGGATTTTTGAGTTTTGAAAAAAAAATTTTTTTGGCTTGTCAAGTTTTTTCAGGTGAGTTGATTTTTTTTCTCTAGCTGCCCCCCCCCTTTCAAAAATGTTGCTACGTCCCTGAAATGTGCTCTGACTGCTCTCCTTCAAATTCTGGTAACCAGGGAAGAAGCACACATTTAAATCGAGCATAAAATGCTCAGGTGAACATTCAACCCATATGGGCCTCTTATGTAAATCAGTTGCGGATCCAGGAATTTTTTCCAGGGGGATCCAACCCAGAAATTTCTTGACAAGCCAAAAAAAAACAAAAAAACAAAACAAAACAAAACAAAACAAAAACAAAAACAAAAAAAAAAAAACAACAACAACAAAAACACACACACTTAAACTCCTCTCCCAAATGTGAAAACCTATTTCATGGTCGTGTGTGTGTGGGGGGGGGGGGAGGGGGAGGGGGGTTTGGCCGTTCACTTTTTTAGCTTCATATGTATAACTTTTCATACCAACTTAACAGGGGTCCGTGTTTTCTAGGAAGGGGGGGGGTGTTCCAAGGTCACTTTTAGTTGCTTTCGTATATAGATTTCGTATAAAGGTTCCGGACCCCCTCCCCCTCTAGTTCCGCGCATGTAAATATTTCATTACCAGTCTGATATTACCTAATAATGTAAATTCTGATAAAGAGAGAATTTTTGAAAGATTTGTGTAAAAAAAGGGGGGGAGGGGTGGTTAATTTTCTACCCATCATTGGAACTTCTTGAATTCATTGTCAAAACAACAAATATTATTATTTTAGTGCATAGCTTTTTTGATGAACTTAAAAAAAATAAGATGCCAAAATGACAAATTACGCAAATTTTTATCAGTATTTGGGTAGGACTCGGAGAACCCCTTTCCAAATCTTGACCCAATCAAAAATCAACCCCCACCCACGATTCACCTGTTTTCCTGTCATATTTAGAATAGATGACACAAACTTATGAAAAAAAAATTGTATGTAATTATAATATAAATTTTACAAATGTACACCTTTTTGGAAAATTTCTAGACTCGTGCATACGTCACACTGCGAGCACTACTTTTACCGTTATCATTATTGTTTTGCACATGGTGTATGTACATCATTATTACCACTGGGATTATTAATATTTAGTGTGTGTTTTAAATGGATTTATTACTCTATCAAGTTAACAGTACCTATAACAGGCGGTGAGTACATTATGAATATATTATTTTAAAGGTTTAGTAAAGAACGGGGTTTGTTTGTTGTTTAACGTCCTTCTCGAGAATTTTTCGCTCATATGGAGACTCCACCACTTGCCGGTGGAGGGCTGCAAATTTTAACCACGGGACCTCGGTTTATACAGTCTCATCCGAAGAACTGGTCTCCACGTCCCGCAGTGAATTCGAACCCGCGACGTAAGGATCAACTCCTTACTCCATGACTCTAGAGCAGACGTTCTAACCACTGCTCGATGCTCCACACAGGTGACTAGAACGGGGTAAAATAATCGGAAATGAAAATGGTTAGGGGCCTATAGGTGGAAAAGGGTCAAAGATCATTGGAATGCCACAATTATACAATGAGGCAAGTTCCTGGGGTCATAATCCTCTCGTTCTATGGAACCGGAAACAATAAAATAGCTTTCATTAGAGCAAAAGCCCCTAAGTCATCTTTGTATTATTTCATTTCATTTCATTTTATTCAGGTACAAATATCACAGAATGTCATGACTACACACATTTAAAACATTACAGATTAGCCTACTAATAGAAAAAAAAACCCAAACCAACAGACATTATCTCAGCACTATGCTACTTAATAAAGATCTAATTGAGCATATACATGTATTATTATTTAAGTTACATGACATACAGATGATAGGTATTACCTAAGGATAGCCCATAAAAGCTTTTTTTAAAATCTTATTTCCAGTGGGGTCCTTAAATTACAAATATGTTAGTAACAAAAAAATTACATTAATATTAATAATGGAATTTAGGCAGGGTACTTGAATGAATATAGCAGAATGCTTTGAAAAATGACATGTTTCTCATTACACATTTACCTTAAAAATTATCACAATAATGCTTATAAAACTAAAATAGAATCAAATAGAAATAAAATGATATATACATGTATTAAAAACATGGTTTAATCTTAATTGTTTAACTCTATCTTCCACTCTTAACATATTCAGAGAGTCTAAACACACTAAATAGGATATATGGGGTCATGACCCCCCAGAGGTCATTCCCAACCCCTAAAACTTCAAATGATCATATACACTGTATCTTGAAAATGGTTGAAAACTCTTCCCTTAAGGCCAAAAATAATAATAGTCTTGTTTCCTGCTACCAGCCTGAAAAAAATAGGGTCGGTAGGTAGGAAAATTATTTTATTTTATATTTTTATTTTATTTTTTTCTGACAGCATTTTTTGGATATGAACTAATACAAGATAAAATTAAACATGTCACAGGTCAATATTGTCTTCTAAAATTGAATTTCATGTCTTTTTATGCACAGCTCAAGTGGTATTTTATGAAAGTCCATATTTAAAACAAGAATTTCATGAAAAGCTTGTTTTGTGCTAACACGAAAACTGATTACGGTGACAGAACGATGAAATTCCGGAAATTCTCGATTTTTTTCTTCCAAAACTTAAAAAAAACTTTAGGTTCGGGTGCAAAAAAATAGGGTAGGTCGGGTAGCAGGAAACAAGACTATTATTTTTTTTGGCCTAACCATATATAATATTGTCCCTCGAGTCATTATGCATTTTAAATGGTATAAAGGTTATGACCCTTGAAGTCATCCTCACCCTGAAACTGGAAATGATCACAATATGACCTGCGTCAAAAGTGTGTTAGTGATAATCTGCTTGACATTTTATTCAGGACCCCCTAGGGTCAGTCCACCCTCCTAGAATTAGAAGATGAAAATCATTCAGAGACCATTATACTTTGTGTACATGTACATTTTTGTATTATTCACAGTTTATTTTATACCAAAACAAGTTATAAATAATTTGTATAAATAAACGAGCCTGGGGCTGGGAAGCTTGAAAAGGGGAAGGGGTTAAGTCTGCATGGTCTTAAATGTTGAAAACTCCTAAAATTTGTGAATATTAACCCGGCCGTTTCCCACTTGTCATCATTATTTACTAATCTTCTCACAACATACATGTGTCTTTATTAAATCAATAGATCATAGACTTTTTTGGTCATATGCCTAGCTCTCCCTTGAATCAGGAATGGTGATATAAATATTTTAAGAATGATTAAGAATTAAAACAGGTCTTGCACAATCTCTTAAAATTGATTAAGCTCTGCAGTTGAATTAGCTATACTGATATAGCTTGGTTTTGCTATTCAAAACACTTGATTTAGCTATTTAATCATACTTTTTTTTAATGTACATTTTTATCAATATTTTTTTACCTTGACCTTTCCTTTGACTTGACCTCACTTTTCTTAAATTTGTGTCAAAATTCATAAATGGGAATATACACTTCTCCAGAACCACTGGGCCAATTTCAAACAAACTTGCCATAAAGCATAATTGGGTAAAGGGGGTTCAAGTTTGTTCAAATGAAGGGCCACGCCCTTTTCCAAGGGGAGATAATAAGGAATTGGTGAAAATTTGGTGTCATCTTTTAAAAATCTTCTTCTCAAGAACCATTGGGCCAGAAAAGTTGAAACTTTTGTGAAACCTTTGTTACATAGTGTAGATTAAAATTTGTTCAAATCATGACCCCTGGGGGTAGGGTGGGGCCACAATGGGGTCCAAGTTTTACATAGGAATGTATAGGAAAATTCTTTAAAAATCTTCCTCTCAAGAACAACAAAGCCACAATTAGTCATATTGATATGGAATCATCCCCAGGTAGTGTAGATTCAAATTTGTTCAAATCATGACCCCCTGGGGGTAGGGTGGAGCCACAATAAGGGGTCAAAGTTTTACATAGGAATACATAGGAAAATTCTTTAAAAATCTTCTTCTCAAGAACAACAAAGCCACAATTAGTCATATTGATATGGAATCATCCTCAGGTAGTGTAGATTCAATTTGTTCAAATCATTACCCCTGGGAGTAGGGTGGGGCCACAATGGGGGATCAAAGTTTTACATAGGAATATATAGAAAAAATTCTTTAAATATCTTCTTCTCAAGAACAACAAAGCCACAATTAGTCATATTGATATGGAATCATCCTCAGGTAGTGTAGATTCAAGTTTGTTCAAATCATGACCCCTGGGAGTAGGGTGGGGCTACAATGGGGAATCAAAGTTTTACATAGGAATATATAGGAAAAATCTTTAAAAATCTTTTCAAGAACAGGAAAGCCATGATTAATCATATTGATATGGAAGCATCCCCAAGTATTGTAGATTCATGACAAGTTTGTTTAAGGCATCCTCCAGTAGTAGGTTGGGGCCATAATGGGGGATCAATAAGTTTTATGAAAGGAATTATATAGGAAATAAATCTTCTTCTCAAGAACAACAAAGCCATAATTAGTCATTTTGATATGGAAGTATCCTCAGGTAGTGTACAAACAAGTTTGTTCAAATCATGGACCCCCCCCCCCCCCCCCCCCCCCCGGGTAGGGTTTCAAACATTTTTAAAATTCCATTTTAAAGAACAGCAAAACCATGATTAGTTATATGAATAAAGCAGCATCCTCAGAAGGTTTATATTCAATTTCATTCAAAACATGGCACCTGGGGTAGGGTATGCTTAGAACAGGCAATCAAAGCTTTATATTTGAATATGTAGGAGAAGAAATCTGCTGATGAAGAACAGCAGAGCCATATTGACTCGGTGAGTGTTGTGGCCAATGGGCCTCTTGTGTAAAATGTAGGAGGAGTTCTGGGAACCAGGGGCTTTTTGTATAAAAAACGTCATTTTTTGACCCCCATTTGACCCCCAGGGTGAAAATGAAAATTCCACAACCTTACTGCACATCTACATGACCCCACCAACCATCTCTCAAAAGATGATTAGGCTACTGTGTAAAATGTAAGAGGAGTTCAGGGAACCAGGGGCTTTTTGCATAAAAAACGTCATTTTTCGACCCCCATTTGACCCCCAGGGTGAAAATGAAAATTCCGAAACCTTACTGCACATCTACAGGACACCGACAACCAACTCCCAAAAGATGATTAGGCTACTATGTAAAATGTTAGAGGAGTTCAGGGAACCAGGGGCTTTTTGCATAAAAAACGTCATTTTTCGACCCCCATTTGACCCCCAGGGTGGAAAAGAAAATTCCGAAACCTTACTGCACATCTACATGACACCACCAACCATCTCCCAAAAGATGATTAGGCTACTATGTAAAATGTTAGAGGAGTTCAGGGAACCAGGGGCTTTTTGCATAAAAAACGTCATTTTTCGACCCCCATTTGACCCCCAGGGTGGAAAAGAAAATTCCGAAACCTTACTGCACATCTACATGACACCACCAACCATCTCCCAAAAGATGATTAGGCTACTCTGTAAAATGTAAGAGGAGTTTGAGAAAGAAAAGTGTGACAGACGGACGGACGGACGGACGGACAGACATGAGTAACGACAATATACCCGAACTTTCTTTAGAAAGTGCGGGTATAATGAGCTGATGGTTTTTAAATTACTACGAATTTTAGCCGTGACAGAAGACACAGAGAAGGAAGGAAAACAACTGTTGAGTGTCATGGATTTTGGAGGACAGTGTGCCTACTACGCCTGTCATCAGGTGTATCTCAGCAGAAGAGCTTTCTATCTCCTAGTGATAGACATGTCAAAGTCATTTGAAGAAAAAGTCGACCCAGCGCAGTGTGAACAGGAAGGGACTATGTTTGCTGATTGGACATATGGAGGTGAGAGGCAAATATTTAAACAATGATTTTTGTGCCCAACCCCCTTGAAAAAGAAAGTACATTCTTGTCTATCGGTTTGATGGGTATGTTGGTCAATTGATAGATTTTGTTGTTCGCTTTATATCTTGAGAACTAAAGTTGACAGACGTCAAACTTCGAACACTGGTATTCCTGAAGTGTTGATGACTCCTTATGGTCTTGAGGTCACAAGAATAAAATTCAAGGGTCAAAGCTGAGATACAAAGATACTGACTGCTCAATATCATGAGAATCCTTTGCTAGGCAACATCAATTTAAACATGGTACTCTGGTTCCAATTGAAAAGTAAATGATCAATGTAGATTTTATGGTCTATTGACTACTTAAAATCTTGAGTACCCTTTGATTGTCACATAAAAAAGTTGGGTCACCCACTTAGTGTTTGGATAAAATGTTTGTTCTAGAGTTGCAGAGAAAGGAGTTGATCTTTACGCCGCGGGTTTGAATCCCACTGCGGGAAGTGGAGATGACCGTTCCTTCAATGAAATCGTAAAAACTTAAGTTTTCTTTTCGCAGTAAGTGCTGGCACGAAAAAGATCCCTCACTGCTTAAAGTCCCCAAGTGTACAGTACATGTCTAGATTTGCCACTCTCTTCTGGCAAGTGGTGGCGTCTCAATATGAGTTAAACTTCTCGGAAGGACATTAAACAAACAAACATGAAAGTTGGTACATCGATTTCGCTAAAAGTTGAATTTTGAGGTTACAAGATCAAAGGTCAAATGGTCATACTGGACAAAGGAGGGTAGTGAAAGTTCAATATTTTGAGACCCTTTGCTTGACAGACATCAAACTTGGTACAATAGTAGTAGACCATAAAGTCACAAGGTCAAGGGTAAAACAAGACGGAAATATATTGACCGCTCAAGAACCCTTTGCTTGGCAGGCATCGAATTTAGTATATTGGTTCCCCTAAAGGAATAGATGACCCCTGTAGCTTAGATAAAAGGATTTAATGGTCAAGGTTCAAAATGGATATAGAAAGATATCTTGAGAACCCTTCGATTTACGGACATCAAACTCGATACACTGGTTTTCCCAATAAGTACAGTGTTGTTGCTCACTGTAGATTTTGAGTTCACAAGATCAAATGTCTATTAATTGTTAAGACATAGGAAGATAATAACTGCCAAATATTTTGAGAATGCTTGGCAGACATCAAACTTAATACATTGGTTCCTTAAGGAGTAGATTATCCCTAAATCTTAAGAGGTCACAAGATGAAATTCTAAGTTGGAAGTCTTAAAATCAAAAGTTCAAGGGTCAACTTGAAAAGGAAGATCGATATTCATATGTCGACTTGATATATCCAAGTGAACTTGAAACCAAAGATCCAAAAAGTCTGACATATCTGTTTCATATTTGGATATTTTACTAGAAAAAGACGTTAATGGTAACCAAACACGTTAATTGTAACGTAACAACAAATCTTTATGAAAATATAATGACATTTCAATCCTCAACTTCCCCTACTTGCGTAGCAATAGACCTTATCACCTGCATATGTGCTTTATGTCTTCGATACGCAGGAGCATGCTCTACGTATGAGCAATTTCTAAAACAAGGCAAGCGACTGACAAAGAAAATGATAAAACAAACACTTTTGTTTATAGTCATCTCAAGTTCAATGGTCGATACAATGACCTTGACAGCAAATAAAATCTATCACTTAGTCGAATGCTGACTGATGTTTTTTTTATACGAATTGATAGTCCATCATTTACACACTTAATTGTCTACGGATTTTCAGTTTTTCACGATCATTCCAATAGTTCACGGTCTGTGTGATATGTTTGCAGGGGATGCTCAATCCTCCATGGCACTGGATCCCACCTCTGATGTGTTAGAGGTCCGTGTTTGCCCTATTTCTGGGTTTCTATTGTTTGAATGGGTGTTTTCTGAGCTTAAATACTATTATATTAAATATATTAAATATATTAATATTATCATTTTTCATCTTTGCTATATACCAATAATGTACATGGTTCCCCATAGGGAGTAGATAAAGCTTGTTGCTTTTAATATAACAATGTCAGCGGTGTCAGCGGTCAAATAAGATGGGAACTATACATTAGAAGATATTTTCAGTTCAGTAGTTTGAAAACCATTGATTTGCTTTACAGGTGCCATCTGAGAAGTTTATTTTCTTTGATGTGTTTGAGGTCTGATGGAGATCAGCCTTAATTAGTATTATTTTTGTCCCTGACTAATATATGGCCAATTGTTTATAGACATTTTAATGAATTTACTTTTTTTGCTTTTCCCACATGTAAAGTCTAGATTTAATTTTCTTTCCTCTATTATACAACTGATGACGTACGTTTTTCTGTATGTTGATGTCAAGAGATATTACTTATCGATTTATGTTGAAAGAATTTCTCGGATAGCTACTAACCCCTGCGGGGGGCTACATACAGGAATCTCTACATCATTTATCTTCCACGACTAATGTTGCCACGCAGTACAGTTAAGGTGACAAATGGAAATATCGGCAAATTTTTTATATAGAAAATACATTCTTTACAAGGATGGGCGTTTCTTTTTAGGACTTTACTATTATCAGACAAATGTAATGTGGTTGAAAACTACATGTTGGGGACGATTAGATTTCTTACCTAGACTTGTGACGTAATGTGGCAGTCACGTGATTTTAGCAAATATACCTGCAGTATTGAGGTCATCTATAAATTCCAATATTGCAAGGGCATAACCACGTTGAAAATCTAAGTTTAATTTATAATTATTTTCAACACTCTTTGTAGTTTGTGAAAAGTGCTGCGAACCTATATAGATTCTACTATATGACTGCTAAAATTACATTTGTTAGACCGTATGCTGAATATTTTGCTGTTCAAGTACATTAAATATAGATATAATTAATTCATTTACAAGATTTCATCAGGTTCGCAGCACTTTTCATATATCTTCATACCTCTTGAGTTTATGTGTAAAAGCTTGTCATAATTCATTGAGGGTATGCCCTTGCAATATATCGATTTATTACGACCCTTCTAATACCCTTCAATGAATCTGCATACAAATATACGGCAGTATTGCTTGTCTAGGAAATGTACGGGAAGTATATGATTAAAATCATAAAATATACATCGCATCCAAGTTAATGGCCTCTTATATATCTGCAAATATATTTTATTTACTTACAAAATACATTTTTCATTGTATAAAATATAACTTGATCCGCCTCTCACTGCATACAAACTGCGTCAAATTTTGCGATATGACGTCACATTGACAAGTGCATTGCGATCATTCAAATTGTTTATATATTGCTCTGTGGGATTAAACCATCGACAAAAATACATGCAATAGTAAGTATTGATGAAGTTTAAAGCTATCCAACAGTTTAAAATAGCAAATCATTTCATTTTGTGGTAATTTGAAGAACATATACATTTGTGTGATGTCATAGTAAGCATTTCCCGTAAAAATTAGGCCCCGCCTCCTTACTGCAGCCTTAACTGTGCTGCGCATGAATGCAATGAACATGCGATGAAAATACCTACTCTGTTGACTTAAAACACAATTATCACAATATAACACTTCATTGCGTGTTCTGTGTCATCAGGTTGCCCAAAAAAGTATGAAATATTTTGTCCGGATAAACTGGAGGAAAAAATAGTTGCAGACAAACAAGTTGATGAAACAAGGATATAAGCACTCTAGTTTAAAGTCAACATTTCCAAAATTCTATAGTCGATACCTTGTCAACAAAAACAATTATTGACTGACGTTTTACATACAACTTTTTGGATCATTATTAGACTCGTTCAACCAGACGCTCGGCTATCTCCGTGATCTCCGACCACCAGAGAGTCTTGTAAAGATCCTTGATAGCGTTTGTAACGCCTAAACGTCGGCTTATCGAAATTTTGGTAAAGTTTTTGATTGGCTAAAAAGTACACACATCTACAATATGAAACAATTGCATGATAAATCGACAGAAAAACAACTTAAAGAGTGACAAGTTAAATTTCTAAAAGCTATAGCAGTTAGAGAGGAATTGCTTATGGATTTGCCCACCCGTTATGAACAAGTTTGTTTTACAATGTCTTGCAAAAATTATTTCTGGAAGCAAAAGTGAAAGTAGTGTAGTCTACCTGAGTAATGTGCACTTCTTCCATTGATATTCTTATTACTCGTTGATATCCCAAATTAAAGATCAGTTTATTATCATAAAGTTTCAATCCACATCTATAACATTCTTTTTCAAAAAGGGTCCTCAAAATGAAAAGAAGATAGTGCACTCTGACGGTTACAAACGCTAATTTGATTTTTTCCAAACTATCTGCTGGTCAGAGTCTACGGAGACACTCGCTCCGAGCGTCTGATTGAAAGAGACTAGGTCATTGTTTACACACTGAATTATCTACGGATATTTCCGTTTGCTCGATCATGACAGTGAGCACACTGCGAGAGTGACCGTCAGACAGGGAATGCTTAATTTTCCATGGCACCTGATACCACCTCTGATTTTTTAAAGGTCTGAGTTTGTTCTGCTCCAAACCTGTATTGTTTCAATGGATTCTCTATATTTCATGGTAATCCGTACGAAATATTTTACAATTTACGTCATATTTCATTCATAATTATCAATAATCAAGGCAAAAAAAAAATCGAATCAACAATATTCTAACAAGAAAATCATTGATTATAGGGAGAAAGGTTGAATTTTTCTATTCAAAATTTCAGAAATCAATATCCTCATCTTTCATTTTTAGCACCTGGTATCATTTTGAACATAAAATTAAACAAGATTGTTTTTCTTCGAATAGGAATAAGACTTCAGTCCTTTATAAGTGCTTGCCTCAGCCTGTCGTTGGAGTTTGAAATTGGATATGGAAGTCAAATTTGACTATCTGTTTCTTCCAATATTTGCTCAACTGGAATTTCAGGAAGGCATGGTACCTTTAAGGGTCAAAGTTTATTAAATTTCCCACTGGACATTTTCAATGCAATCACTGGAGATTGCAAAAATGGTCCAACTTATCCAAAATTCTAGCTACATGGCTTTCAACATGAAGTTCAAAGGCAAATTACTCGTGCTCACCTCGAGCAGGCCTGAGTCACGATTGATTTTATATCGCAAATACGTTTATATACATTATTTAAAGTCCGTTCAGAATTGATGAAATACATGTATGACATAATGAGTAAAGTTTTCATATTCCCCATTGTGAATGATGTATCTGTCCCATACGCAGATTGATTACGTTAACGTTGAACAATGAGTGGACATAAATAAAGTGTATCCAAATTGTTTATTGCACAGAATACCTCCTGTTTTGGCTGAAGTCGGTGCACACCTATTGTGATAGTGATGCGCCTGTTATCATTGTTGGAACTCATCTGGACAGAGTTAAAGGGAAGGTACATGTACTAAAATTTATTTACTTCAAACATTAGTAGCCTACTATATTTTGAACTTACATGTAACTACAAGAAAATGAATAATAAATTAAGAGGGATCTTTATTAGAAATTTCTGAAGCTTTGATATTTTACTGGCACTTACTCACATGTACATTTTTGAAATAATGAAATCGATACCTTCATTTTCGTTATTTTTTTTTTGCTCCAGCATGTGCAATATCAGATTTAAATGCTTAAAATGACGCATTTTTGAAAGTTTTAATTTTACAAAAAATATTTTAAAAAAGCAGAAATACAAAGGATAAAATTATAGAAATCAACATTTATTCCAATCATAAGACAATGCTCTAAAATAAAAATAAATTGTTTACAACGAGAAAAACAGTATTCTGACTCGCAATTATAATGTCACCATATTATATGTACCTTGGAGGATATTTTTATAATTTGTCATGCATTATAGAGAATTTTTTTTAAAAAGTCTGGATAAATATATTGTAATAAAATAACTTTTCTTTTTATTTTGATAAAGAAAAAAAGTCTACCTTTATTCACTAATAACTTAGAAATATTTAGTTCATTTTGTTTTCTCTAGAATTGACGACTGAGACAACAGTAAGCCAATCTTCATGAAAACTCTTTGTAAAATAGTTAATTCTAAAGAAAACAAATATTCCTTTTTTGTTCAAAAAACTAATTATATTCATTTGTGTTTTTTGATCCGATTTCCACAATGTAATTTATGTAATCCCCTTACCCGTATGAATCACCAAATCACAACACACTGTTAATTCAACATCAAAATCATATGCACCCAGGAGCCACACTTTGATAAGTTTCGAGCGTTTTAATTTATTGTGAACATTTTTAAATTAACATATACTTTTTTCAGCAGTTTAAACAAAAACCGTATTTCATATCCTGTATTTTTTAATCAGTTATAACCTTCTGTGCCAAGCTGCATTTAAGTCTCAAGAAAGATTGACCTTGACGTACTTATATGTACCAATATGTCACTGAAGTTTTCATTATCATTTCAGAGTTCAGTTCACTGTCTGCTAAGCACAATTCTGAACAGAATAACTCCATATATCTGATCATGCCTATGACATATATAGAGGATATTCAACCTTTTGTAGATGAATATGGAATTTGTTTCACGAGTGGGACAGGATTTTTTTATATTTTCCCGAGTGCGAAGCATGAGTGGAAATATAAAAAAAATCCTGTCTCACAAGTGAAATAAATTCCATATTCATCTACAAAAATTGAATTTTCTGTTTATTACATTTATTTTATTTTCCTTTTGCCTCTGTCTTTTCTTTACACATGCAGTGTCATAGGCTTGACGTCATAGTTGAGCGATTGAAACGTCATAGCTTACTAGTTGTGAGAATGAAAACATTACATAGCATGGACTTTAGCAACATATTTAAGAAGAATCTTGCAGTTTTAGCTCTATCTTATGACAGGCCAGAAATTATTTTTTACTTACTTTGATATCCTTTCACACTGTGAGAGAATATCATTTTGGTATCCTTTCACACTGTGAGAGAATATCACTTCTATTCAATAAATAAATCACAGTATTTCCCTGTTGAAAATGTAGTAAATAGTAATACTCGTAAATTGTTATATTCGTAAAGGTTACAATATGTTTTAAAACAACAGGGATTAAAAATCACTTTGCTGTAAGCGTGGATTCATTATTGGTGAATTAACAAAAATATGACCAAACACATTTATTTATCAACCTACACTTAATTCACAGATAATGGGAATAAATGTCAATGTCTCAGCATGTCTAACTGCTTGCCAAATATCCCACTGATATCTCAAATTCACAAAAAAGTTATGCTCAAAAATGTTGCTAAAATGACATGAGTCCAACACTTTTATGTGACATTTTGAAAATTCTATAATGTCGAAGAAGTTTGATATAAAAAAATAATTGTTTTTGCTGGAAATAAAGGATTTCTTAATAATATTCAAAGCATTTAACTTTAAATGTAGAGGGTAGCTGCTTTTGTATCACCAAGTTGTGATAATGACTGATGTTAAAAAAAATATACCATGCCTGGAGCGCAACAGAAAAAAGTGTTGCCAAAAAAAAAAAAAAAAAAAAAAAAAAAAAAAAAGATTTTAAAAACTCTTTATAACAATTAAGTCAAAAAAGAATTTTCAAAGTGTAAAACAACTGATATACAATTTAATACTTTAAAATGTTATATAAATCACAAGCAGCATTAATGAAAGTCAAGTATCTGTGCATACCCAATAATGTCAAGAGTACAGTATTTCAAGTTTTGCATGAAAAGATTTTTATCAGTATATGATTCTGGAAAAAAAAGACACAAAAAACATTTTTTTTTACCAAATTTATCAATTACAGGGTCTGTCTGTTTTTCGATCTATATTTTTATGGTCAGGAGTGTAACTCATTTTTTTTAATGATTCAAGCTTTATGATGTTCCTGCTAAGAAATGTTCTTTATTTAATAATGATCTATTTTTATAATTAAGAACTAAATTATTGACAGTTTTATTATTTAAATCCATCATATTTTCAATTTTATCAATTCAGATGTATTTTTGTCTTTCATTTAATTCTTATGAATATAAATAAAAGATAAACACAGTGAAAAACTGTTATATAATTCAAGTAATTCCACCTTAACTTAACCAAAAAAAAAAAAAAATTACAAAAAAACAAAACAAAACAAAACAAAAAAAAACATCAAGTTCTGATTTAATCTTTGCTTCATAATTCTACCTTAAAGACTCTAATGCTCTTGGTCAGGACTGCAACAAATATGTTAACTTAGAATTATTCTGATCAAATATGAATAAATATAATCAAAATCTTAATGAGTAGAATAATTGTGGTTGGAATCAGTTGCTTACAGAGTTTGTCATGTGAAGGAAAATATACTATAAAATGTTTTTATCTTCTAAGTATATATTTTAGCTAGTTTTTGACATAAATAGAGAAAAATTCATGGAATAAAGCCATGTTTAAATACTTTCCAGTGTTTTATTTACATATGAAGTATTGGACTATAAATATTGCACAACAACGAACTGATTTACAAATTATGAATCGGTTATTGTGTGTTTTTTTGTTTTAAATATTAAATAAAAAAAACATAATAGATGTCAGGAGTGCAACACAATAATGTAAAATAATATCATTTCAAAATCTAGTAATTTTTGCAAGAAAACTTGAATATCAAAATTCTTTTTTTTTTTTTTTTGGTTTAGATATAAAGAATTGACCTAAATGAGGCAACAAATGATTTTAGTGGTTTATTATTTAAGGATATCCGATTCTCAGCCAGGAAGGATAACTCTTTAATTTATTATTTTATTAAAAAAAAGTCTTAAAATGAAGCTTGAAATTGAGATCTTTTTGTGCAACATTTTTTTTTATTTTTTGCATCTAAATATGATTCAAGGTTTTTTGAAGTCTTAGAAACAGTCTTGTAAAATGTTAACATTTGTACCCCATAAAAGAAAAAAAAAATGAATTCATTTTTAGAGAAATATAATTCCTTTTAGTCAAGCATTAGATACCAATGCTTATTAGCATGATATGAAATTAGATGTGATATGTAATGTCTAGCAATGATAGCACAAGCTTTTTACATTATGTATTGTATAATAATTGAAGTAAAGAGAAGAACTAAAATACTGTATAAGCATAAAAAAGATGCAGTTTTCTCCAAGTGCCTGGATACCTATATTTTTCTATCCTAAATTATATTTGTTGATCAATTTTCAATTAGAAATAGCTGGTGCTTTTATTCGCATTTAATGAAAATATATTTGAGATTTGATAATTTCCCCTTTAGAATATGATTAACAATAAATATGAACTTGGAAGAAATACCATGGGTAAATGAACTTTACTATGTGAAATCAGAGCCATTTTGTGAGCACTTTCCATTGCTTAAAAGCTGATTTTCAGAAACTGAGAATCGGACTACCTTTATATTTCTTTTATATTAATTTTTTTTAAAACCAGAATCGAAAAAAAATGTATAAATAACAACCAAAAGGCCATTTTTCACATATACAAGAGAGGAAACTCAAACAATAATTAGATCTTATCATATATATCCCTGGTGCCAATTTGAAGCATTAAAAACTCTAAAATGTCTTTTAATTAAATATATTAGAAATTATTTAGCATGTAGTGATATTTACTTTTTTCAAAAAAAGTTTTATTGATTAAAAACTCTGAAACATTTTTATAATCCAGCTGTGTATTCTATTGCTGCTGCAGGAATTTGAACTAGAATGCATGTAAAATATGATTAAAAAATGTTTTGAGTAGTTGATTTTTCCCCAAAAATTTCAATTTTGTGTTCATAATTTTTAATTCACCTTTATAAGAGTGTTCACTATAATCGTGTTTTACAGAACTAGGCTACCTACTACAGCTACATAATGATATCGAATAGAAAATCTGAATTCTCTAAAACTGATCTTGGTGCCATCAACATGTCGCTCTTGTGAATCTTGGCTAAAGAAACATGAAGAAAACAAACAGTAAACTCAAATATCCACTGAAACAATACAACATCATAGCAGAATAATAGAGGATATTCAATGTTTTGTAGTTGGATATGGAATTTATTTCACGAGTGGGACAGGATTTACTAAAAAGGCCATTGTATCGATCAGATAATTTGCGAAATGTTGACTTTCAATGAGATTATTGATATTCTTACAGAAGTATTTGACGGTGATGTGTTGTTCTGAATTTTGAAATCACTGGACAGGAGTAAAAACACAAAATTTAGAATGTTGTATATTTTGTATCAAGTAAAAAAAAAAAAAACAACAAGAAAATACAGAGATGCAACACATGTTCACTATCTTCACTCTAAATGCCAATTAAAGAAAGCTTATTATATAAGCTAAAGATACTGTAAGCTCCCCACGGAGGGTCATCCTGGAATGAGAGCTTTACAATGTACTTTCACAACACTTTTCAAGGTCACTCCTTAAGTCTTGTTTCATGTTCCTCAATAAGGACAAGGCTTGGTATCAGTTCAAGTATTGGTTTATTAATTGATCATTCAACAAGAAATGGCAGAATGGGAAACAGATTTGGATACATATAGTTATTTAATAATATTTGTTTTGGTCGGCGGTGTCAACCCTACTTTAAGTGTAAAAGAATAGGGAAGTTGATTTGGAATTAAAAAAAGGTCAAAAGATCTTAAATCAGGGGTCCGTTTCATCAAAAGTCGTAAATTTAAGACTTAACTTGCGTGTACTTCCGGGGTTTACGACATAATTTAGTCGGGCGTAATTTACGTTTCACGAAGTGGCGTAAAACTAGTCGTAAACGATACGCTTAGTCTCAGGGCTAAGTCCTTGACAACACTGTATTGCACATGCACAAAAAATATAAACATTCGTATTTTGTTCAATGCATGCAGGACAACACACATACATGTATATATTAACGTAAATGAAAAATTACATGAATTTTTAGGGACCTTGTAGAAAACATGCATCTTATATCTAATTATTATAAAATATTAACTACTTACAGCATACCATCTGATTATACTCCAAAATTAAAGGTCTGAGAAAAGAAATAAATGTTCTTGTAAATGTATGGAAAGAAAATATTTTTTGAAATATTTAAATTATCCCCCCTCTCTATTTTGATTCAGGAAGAGAGAAAGAGGGCGAGAGAATTCGTTACATTTTTACGTTCTTTTTTAAAGTATAAACCTTTGCATCTGATAGACTACTAAGATATTAAGAATTGATAAAATTATACAAAATATGCATCCTCAAGAAAAAATATTTTTTTCCCATTTCTTCTATGGCATGACCCTGTACGCCATTCCATTTGTTCCTAAAAATTGTAGTATTTATTTTTAAAAATGCGGTCTCTTTTTTATAGATAAAAATGGCAAGTATCATCGATACTGTATACCGGGTTATTTTCGCCCCGTGTTATTTTCGCCCTTTCGCATTTGCAAACAATTTTGCCCTGTTTTAAATTCGCCCAGTCACAGTCCTGTTTAAGAAATTGTACTGTCTTCTTTGAATTTCGTGTCGTCTTAAATTCGCCCACTTGTGTCTTGGGCGAAAGGGGCAAAAATAAAACGGAGGCGAAATTTTCTCTGTATACAGTATTTTTTTTTTTTTTTTTTTTTTTTTTTTTTTTTTTTGAATTTTTTTTCAAAAATTTATCACTCAGTTTTGAAACATTAATATATTGTTATACATGGGGTAATAATTATCGTAAAATTACAGTCATTTCCCAGTCAAGTTTCTCTGACATGATTCTCAGAAGCTTTCCAGTGACTTTGTTGCCCCTAGTCCCTAAGCTAAAATTCTCTTTAATTTGTATTCAATATCTGAATACATTGACTTTCAAGTATATTTTACAAAGTCAGCTGAAATCTTTTTTGTCTTTTGAACGTTAATAACCTTTTATGGAGGCAGGTGCGGGTCCCTGATTTTTCTTATTTAAGGGGGGGGGGGGGTTAGGGGCTGGGTCATTGAATTGGAGCAAGCAAAAGTGAGGAATAAGTTCTGATCATCTTTATTGAAGATTGTATCAAAATCCTCCGTCATTCGACATTCATATCTATGGAATTGACACCATGGTAAATTCTTCAACGTACGCGTGTGTACAATAAAGAGGAAGAAGTGAAGCGATATTTTTTGTGTTGGGGCAAACAAAAAATATTTTTACCAATTTTTTTCCATAAAAGAAACTTGTAATTGAACAAAATTTGCATGTGTCATGCAAAAATTCATCTTTTGTCATTTTTTTCCTTTTTCCGTCAAGGTGTCTCTTTAAAGAAGATAACTATGCCTTTGTGGAAAAATTATTTTTTAGAAAAACAAAATATGTTGGGATAAATAGCTTTTTTACCAAAACAGACATTTTTAATGGGTTTCTTCAAAATGCATATCGTATAGTCAATTTACAATGTACCTCATGCTCAAAATACAACAATCAAGTGTTTATAAAAAAAAAGGATTGTCAACGAGATGTTAAAATCCCTAATAAGGCAATCTTTTATGAAGAAATTTATTAAAGTAAGTTATGTAAATACTGCATGTCACCTACCTCTCCAAGTGGGTGTATCCTCCACCCCCACCCCACCCTACTTTCCGTTCCCCAAATCTTCATAGTTTGTAAAATTAAATAATGCATCTTTTGTATTAAACAAACTTCTTAGAACAGTAATTATGCGTTTCTTAGAACAGTAATTCTGTGTTTCATTGTTTACGCCGAATTTACACCTACCCATGAGTAGACGTAACATTTTGGCCTTACTTTAGTCTGGTATAATAAAACGCTATTTAAAAAGACACAATCTTAGTGCTAGTCCCGATTTACTCCGGCGTAGCGCTACGACTGGGCGTACGACCTTTGATGAAACGGGCCCAAAGTGTCCAGTGTATTGGGAGATAATTGACAGTTTGTCTCACCTAGCTAATACTTCGATCCGCTGATGCAACTTATCTGCCATAAACTGGCGAAGCGCTTATATTTTTAAGTTTCTGAAGTACTCATGTGACACAAATTAACGAATGAAAAAGCTGTACGGTGACGCTCGATTAATGACAAACAGAGATCTGTCAAACAGTGTCAAACAACGTCAAACAAGGCTGTCATACAATGAATATATAAGCTACAAAACGGAAGTAACATTCACAATAACAATAATAATAATAATATGGTATGGATCTGAAAGATGTTTTCATCAACTGTAAGTAAGCATTTTGAGTGAAATAAACGTGTATTTCATGATAGAAAACCGCGATCGTACAGCAGACGTCATTCAAATAGCTCTGCCATAATAAAAATGTGTAACTACCATTAAATCCCGTTTAATGTAGAAGACTTGATCAATCTTAGTAAAACATCTTCAAACACTGATTTTTTGGATATTCACAAACAATTATAACATCGAATTGCTTTAAAAAAAAAAACAACTTCTTTAAATACAAAACTTTGGCTAATACAGATAAGATGTCGGCAGGATGTAAAGAACTTTCATGACTCCTGCAATCGTGTGCAATTACTGCGCTTATTTGATTCAAATATAATTAAGTAAAATAAAGTAACATGGAAAGATTTTAAAGGTATATATTGAATTCCTTGAAAGTAGGATTTCCTGTATAAATACATGCAACAAGTACGAATGTACAAGTCAAAAGTGCTATAAATAGAAGCTACCACGTTGTGTAAATATTCAACACTGTTCAAAAGTGTAGTTTATGAGTAATAAAGTCCACCCTGATAATAATCTCAAAAAATGTTAACACATTTTAAAAGATATAAAAAAAATAAACATATAAATCAAATTCTACTTGAAATATCCATTAATTATTTGAAAATGTTTGTAACATACATTGATAAATTTTTATGGGTGTAAAGTAACAAATCAGTTGTCTTTTTATTGCTTTATCAGTAAAGTCACTGAATGTAAATGTTGTGGGGAGATCCATGAAACAGCCGTATTTAACTATAAAAAACCGATATTTATCAGTTGTTTTAGGCAATACACACTGTCTAGATTGCAGCGGATGACACATTGATAAGGTCTAAATAAGTATGAGAATCTAAAGTCAAATATGCATTTCAACTGTACTTGTTTGATATATGTTTCCAATCTCATATTTGTTATGACGTTCGTGACGTTCTTTGAGTATAATGTCCGCGGCATTTCTTTGATCTCGCAATTACTTTAGTAGAATTGTTAATATATTCTCTACAATTATTTGTTTCAAAGTTAAGTTCTAAGTCTATGAAAAGTAGATAAATAAGGTATCAATGTTTTTTTTTTCTTCTGGCAATAAGAGTAACATTTTACAAATTGAAAATTTGAATAATTGAATTTTCTCTTGTTTCCCTTAATTTGTATACCAAGTCACTATGCATGTATTTAGCATGATGTACAGTATGTAACCACGGAAATACCAAAGTAACTTAAATATTACACGATTCGTACATATAGGCCGTTAATTTGGTGTTAACATCCGAACCAATTCCCCTTTCTCCATAGTATGGCGTGATTCAATTGGTACCTTGTTAAACTGTGGGTATTCGATTTACCCACTCTTAAAACACATTTAACCAAGACCAAAATTCCTCGTTTCTCTCCCCTAACATGTTGACATTAATGTAAAGGCCGTGAGCAAACCTGACATGATTTTAACCCCTTAGCCAAGATACCTAACTCTACCTGCGTCCCTTCAGCCAACTACCCCGTGTCTACAGTTCCCCATCAACCCTTATGTTTACGTCAAAGGTGTTTTATGAAGTCTCTGTTTGATGCTGTGCATACTGATGGTCTTAAGTTTCATACCTTTTTTCACCATTTCTTTTAATTTTAACAGTTTTGCTTCTGTCAACTTTTTAATATAAAACATTCACCGATGCCAGATGACATGTTTATTGTTGTTAAGTTATTTTCAGAAGTTAACATATTATAAAAGAGAAACCTTATTTAGGACGGAAGAGAAGAAAAACAAATTTTAGTGGCTATTGTGAACAAGCAACGCTGCTCTGAGCCGGAACGACATACCCCACGTTTAAGTGAATAAAGCATTTACTCTCATTGGTTTAAATGTTAAAACACATGTTGGTAATCACAATTAGATATCCTTTCTACTTTTTTGCAGAATTCTGATGCTTTCTATAACAATATACTGGATCAACTACAGTTTAACAAACATTTGAAAGCACACCTGGACAGAAAAAGATGTTTTGTTCTTGGCTTTCAAACAGATAGCGAATCTTCTATCGATACTCTATCAGAATTAGAGAAGTGTATAGTTACAATTGCCAGAGACGATAAATGGAAAGAAACCATCCCTACCGACTGGGCTTTGTGTGAAGTTGTATTTAGAGAAAGCAGAAGACGGGAAATAAGAATGACTTCGCTCACAGATTTATCATCAAAATGTTTCGGTGAAAACAAAGAAAAAGGTGCTCAAATCAGAGACATTTTAAAATTTTATCATGACATAGGTGTCATACTTTACTTTAATGACAGAAATCTTTCTGAAACGGTCATTATTGATATCCAGTGGTTTATAGATTCCTTCAAGAATATTATTACCGACCCAAACCACGTTAGGGATATTGCAGAAAATTCCGTGGATTGGTGGAATTTTTACAGAAGTGGTCATATTCTAGACAGACTCCTTACAGGCATATGGAGTAATAGACATTTTAAAATGGATCTCTGGAACAGAAATCACGAAAAAACCAACCTTCTCCAGTATATGCAACGTCTTGGTCTGATAGCTGTAGGTACCTACGCACACTACATTCCCTGTATGAACAAACGTGCATTTGGAATTTCAGAAGAATGTTATTTTCAATCTCTACAAAGCAAAACATCCGTATTAGTCTTTCGATTCCAATTTTTGCCATGTTTTTTCTACTATCGTCTTATCGTTGCCTGTTTGACGAGGACCAATGGAGAATGGACGGTTTTGGAAGACAGAGGACTTTGTTTATACAAGAATGTGGCTTGTTTTGCCTATAAAGAACATGTTGTGGCTTTAGCAGTAAACAATTCTTCAATTCAGGTTCAAATTTTTCAACCCAGCAATATCTTTGTCATAAAAGAAGTGGCATTGGAAGTGCGCTATACTGTTGAAAGGTTATTAAAAGAACTTTTAGGGAATTTCCACAAGAAAGTTGACATGTACACTGTTGGATATCAGTGTAGTAATCAGGAAGTGTTTCGAGAACACGATGACTGCTTTGTAGAAGAGAAAGATATTTACAAAAAAGGGAAAATTAGATGTCCAAAACACGGAATGATCAATTATCATGTATTAAGTGAATCAGCTCTTCTGGTTTACTGGAAAATGGTGAGAGACAATGTATATGCTTTGAAATGTACATGTATATATGTAAATTACTCATGCCCAGTAATAGATATGAAAGGAAAAATAAATGTTTTAACTTATAAATGCAAAGTATGCGAAAACCAACTTTACAATCATATTTGATTTAGAATTTTCAAATCTTCCGAAAAATTCTTAATAAATAATGACTGCATTATCATAATCAAAAGTATATGTATCTGTTAGAATGAAATATCGTCAATAACGTATTCCTTTATATATTGATTATCTTTTTCATGTTTTTTTCAGGATGTTATAGCGGAGATTTCAGGTATGAAATTTAATGTGTATTCTAGTACTCACAAAGGGAGCGCTTTACCTTAAAATTGCTTTTAAAATATTTTTTTAGCTTTACTAATTTAATGGTGTTTAATAATCAGATTTGGATGACCTCATGGATCAAGATGAATGTACCCGTCTATCCGAACCTGAATTGAGAAAACTGAATTTCAAGTCTTTCGAAAAGCTTACAAAGATAGGAAGAGACGCTCTGCAGCTTTATTTTGACAGAATATTTCCACCTCTAGACCTTGTAACAACACTTACTACGAACAAAGACAGTCTGCAACGTGGACAGTTTAAAATGAACCAAGATCAGTGTACTCTGCTTTTTCCAGGTATTGTAAAACAGTAGAGGCATATATGTTCTATATTTATAATTACAAACAGGACGCCATAATCAAATTTCCAACACAAGTATTAGAAGTTATAATCACAGTGATTTTCATTGTTTTTGATATATATAAAATACATGGTTACTGTCTTGAAATATAAGCGATATTTGGGCGAGGGTAAGAAAACGTGATAGAGGGCGAGGCTTGCCGAGCCCTCTATCACGTTTTCGACCCGAGCCCAAATATCGCTTATATTTCAAGACAGTTTCCATGTATTTTGTTTATCCTGCAACATATTTTTACGTGACTTCCAAAACGAGCTATTTTCAATCGATTTAGGTACATCTCCTCTGCAGTTGAAACTAAGACGCCATGGCGTAAACATTGCAATATTCATGACGTCACAATGTTTTTAGAACGTCGGAATACATCCACGAGGCTTTATTAGGGCATTGACCGAATAAAGCTTTAGTTTATTTTAGGAATGACTCTAATTCGTGGCCAAATTATTCGAGTATAACCTGGTTTGGGTCAGTTTACGCTTTATAATCCGCGAAGCGGATTATAAAACAGCGTAAACTGACCCAAACCAGGTTATACTCGAATAATTTGGCCACGAATTAGAGTCATTCCTTATAATTTAATTTCAAAATCATTAAATAACTATGGGTGTAAAATTTCTTTGCTTTTTATTAGTTCAAATTTGCCGCTCAATAATACAACTATAGTAACGGAAGTGATGGGAAGCGAGGGGAGGTAAAAACTGATACACAGGCCTAGCAGCCTTGTTGTTTATTTACATGTGGTAAGATCGAATTATTGTTTGAAGTTAAAGGTACATTTATTAAATATGGAATTTTCCATGAATCCCGAGGACTGGAAATGAGAGGATTGTATGGATACAGATGTTTCAGCTGGTTGTCAGGGGGGTGTGTCCCCATACCAAACCAGGTTATACAGAAATAATTTGTGTTCCTTTTTGGATATTAACCAATCAGAGGCTAGAATACAAACAAAATTAAATTATTAGGTTACCTTCATTAGGTCAATGCAAGGGGTAGTTGCAGGATAAAACTTTTTTCCACGATCTTTCAGTTATCTGTCAAGACATATAATTGCTGTTTTATTATTAATCTTGCCTTAAAGAAATCTTCACAGAAAACAGAAACATGTATAACAAATGAACAAATTAAACAATGTAATTCGTGTTTTGTGATTTGCTTTTCTGTTTTCTTTTCATAATTTATAAGCGTTTTATTCTTTTATATATCCATACAGCTGATAAATCAATTCCCACTTCATCCACATTTGACGTAACCATAATGTATAAATTGTTGAGGAACTGTGGTCCAAACCTCCTTCCACCAACCAATGGCTGGGGAAAAAAACCTGAAATAGGACAAAAACTCCCCACTGATGACGTAGATGGAATACGAATATACAGGAATGAAGTGGAACATAAAACACAGACAACCAACATCATGGAGAAAGACGACTTTGATCTAAAATGGAGAGATCTTTCTCAGGTGCTTCGTTACTCCTGTTTTCGTGCGTCAATGTGTATTCTAAAAGAGTAGAAAATGGGATGTATTTTTTGTTCACTGTACCGGTCACAATAGCCAAGGTAGGGTGTTAGCTTCATGATCGGAAGGCCCAGTTTCTATTCTCGCTCGTTTCAAGTCCATCACCGGCATACGGTGACGTCTTTTTATCAGAAAAAAATTCTCTATTTAGACGCGTAACAAAAATCAATCAATCAATCAATCAATAAATGTTCATTGTGGGCTTTGTCAAGCAAAAATCTTTTGACAAAAAGGGGAAGTTATTTGGGGGCAAATCCATAAAGTGCCTCTGTTTCCAATAGTATCCTACATGTATATACCGGCAAAATTATTGATTTGGCAAAATTAGGGGGTGGGACATGGTCCCCTGCACTCCTCGCAAAGTTCTTCAAATCTTTAAATACGGCATGCTCTATTTATAGGAGGCCCTTAAATTGCTTAAAAATGAACCACTATTATATTCATGAACCATACGGTATACATTATATTATATAATGTTTTATCGAGAAAACAATTTGAAAACTGTCGTAATTAGGCGATAAACGCCCATTTTATAGGGTTCTTGAAGTAAAAAAAATATTTATATCAGTATGTAAAATCACATTTGATAACAATACTGACGAGTAATAAGCAAATCTTGTGTCATAAATGACGTCACTAGTCTTGACGAAGGTACAAGTGATCAAGAGGAGTGTATCAGTTGGTTAAATAATTACAAAAATGCTTAAATAAATATAAAATCATCGCTAATTTTCATATCTTATCAATAAAATGAAAAAGAAATAAATTATCTAAAATGATTTTATTGATTTTCAATTTATCTAAGTGCTATGGAGCCGTACAACGACAGAGAATGTAAAGAAAAGCGCTAACACGATCAGCATATTCCTAATTAACTTCAAAACGCAAGGACATAAACTAGACTGTTTGAGCTGAAATATGGAATATTAGTTGCTTTTATCATGAATATTTTGAAAAGTGCTGGGAGCCAATTCTGTTCGACAGAAGATTATTTTTATTCATAACGGATTTTAACCGAAATAGGTATTTCCTAGCTATTGTGCGCATTTTCGGCAATCTTACAAGTATTTTCGAAACTGCTCAAACTAGCTCCCAGCACCTTTTGGGTAGACGATGCAAACCTGTTTTAATATTTATCAGTTGCCCCCCCCCCCCCCCCCCAAAAAAAAATGCATATGCCCTTGCTCTAGCTCATTTTCCATATTCAGCTTAACAATTCTATTTTAATAAAAGTCACTCGACACACAGCTGATACATGCGACGTAACTGGTATTCCTATCCATCATATTAACTTCCTTAAATGTAAACAGTTACTTTGTTACAAAAAAAGTTAATACGTATCAAGGAGGTACTAAAATCGCATTTTTCCATTTCCTTCTTTGACATAGCTGAGTAATTACATAGGGTCAAATGATATTGAAACGTCATAGGTGTTAATAGTCAGTTAGAACAGGTAAAGCTTATCATAAAAAAAAATGATGTTAAATAAACCGGTTATGCAATATCGTTGAGGAAATTTTGACATTGACGATATTTTTTGGTAATGAACGTTTTTCGTTTTTTGTAAGAACGACTAGAAAAAACCATGAAAATTTGCTGACAAGTAAAGAGGAAAGCTTTTAAAAAAGTATTATTTCCTTAAAAAAATATCAAAGTAAAAAAAAATGTGATCGGGCATAAACTATTGTTCTGAATAGGGTCAGAGTCATGGAGTTGCAGAATAAAGGGCCCCTTTCACATTCTGTCCGGCGTCTGTTTGTCTGTCTGTCTGTCTGTCTGTCTCTCCTTCTGCCTGTCTATGCGTCCACCTGTAAACTTTTCGTACATGTATTTTCGACTTTTCTAGAACGACTGGGGCAATTTCTACCCATCTATTTCAAAACATGCTTGAGAGAGGAAGGTTCAAGCTTGATAAAATGAAAGTTCACACCCTCTTTCAAGGGGAGATAATTGAGATTTTTGGTGGCATCTTATAGAATTATTCTTCTCCAGAACACTGGGCCCGAAAAGATGAAAATTATGTGAAAGTTTCATTTTATAGTATATTTCACTTTGCTCAATTCATGACCCTAGGAATACGGTGGGGTACAAAGAGAGATCAAATTTTTACATAAGAATATAAAATCATCTGACGAAAACCACGATTAGTTTTATTAATATGATAGTACCCTCACGAAGCGTAAATTAAAGTTTTTTTTTCTTCAAATAATTACCCCAGGGTAGGGTGGACCGCAATAGGGAATCAACGATTTACTTAGGAAGAAAAAATAAATCTTTAAAGAAATCATTTTATAAGAAACAGCAAGGCCCTTAATAGTCATATTTATACAGAAGCATCCCTCTGTATTGGTTCTGTATAGCAGGTTGTGTAGATTCAGGTTTGTTCAAATCACGACCCCTGAGGGTTGGATAGAGCCATAAGAGGGATCAAGAATTATATAGGAATATATTGGAAAAATCTTGAAAAAATCTTCTCAAGAACAGCAAAGCTATGATTAGTCATGTTGATATGGAAGCATCCCAGTAGTGTAGATTAAAGGTTGTTCAGATTATGTCACACGGGAGGGGGGGGGGGGTAGGGGGCACATTTTTTAAAATCTTCTCTAGAACAACATGCATCCATAATTAGTCATATTAAAGATTAGAAGATCCTCAGGTTGTGTAAATTCGTGTTTGTTCTAATCAATCTCTTGGAATACGGTAGGGTCACATCAGGGAATAAAGTTTTACACATGGATATATAGGAGAAAAAAATTCTGAGGCAGAACATCAGGGCCATATTGACTCATGTGAACGATGTTGCAAATAGTCCTCTTGTTGTAATTGCCCAATCTTGATGTCCATATTGTATTGTTATCAGATCTTTTTGTTTTTTTATTTGTTTGAGTTGCTTCGATTTATCTTTATTTCGCTTACGCATTTTTTCTGTGAAGTCACGTATTAACATACCTAAGTTAAAAAATAAAAATAAAAGTTTGAAATTATTCCTTTATATTAATGTCATTATTTCTTAAAAATACAAACAAACAAAACGACGTTTACTTACTCTTTGCATCTAATTATAAGAAGTTAAATCTACATGTTGCTGAATTTCTAGTACGTGATGCGTATAGGGAAGAATTGCATTTAGTTAGCAGTTGAGGTTAAAGTGCCTGTATAAGTTAAAAGACATTATGAGGAGAAAGTTTTAACAGTTGAACTTGGTTAGATTTTTTAGCTCTGGTGGATATTTTAATTACTTTTTCAAATTGATGTAATTTTTTGAAGCAGAATTATCAAGATTTTAGTCCTGTGACTGTAACAGGCAATTAGGGGGTTGGGGTGATGAAGCTCAATTTGCTAGTTGTATTTAATTTTAACGTTGGTGAATATCAAGTCATTTCAGATTATTTTATTTCATATGTGTTGGTTTTTCAAAAAAGAATTAAGAAAAAAATAATAAAATAAAAAACACGAATAAAAAATGAATAAATAAAGAATAAATGAATAAATAAAACTTTGTTTCAGTTGAAGATAACTTTACCTGCACTGGTAATCTTCTAGCATTAAACATATTGAATCCAAACTCTGCTACAATATCTCTAAAATACATTTGTACTGAGTTCTCTTAAACTAATTACATTTCGTAACATGGTTTTCTTTTTTTTTAACAGGCAATACTGAGACTTAGTAATGGATCATTAAAGCAAGACATCATGTCCCTCAGACGACAGAGATAAAATGATCCGAGTGACATCGCTGGAGTTTATTGAACAAAGACATTCACTTCTATTATCTCAAAACCGGATGAAAAAGTAAATAGCAGGTCAACCTTTTGAATTAGTGTGCTTCACCTTAAGTTGATGAATAGTAATGAAGTTAAAAAGGAGGGGATTTATTTTTAGTAAGAACACCTGATAACACTGTGAAAAAGTTTATGATCATTGGAGTCACTGTTCGTGGACAATTAAAGTCAACTACTTCATGAGGATGCAGTTTCGTATTTTGAGCATGCAATGCATCGACTCGTTGGGAACATCTTAGCTTTGTTCCGATGACCCACGTAGTCCAAGAACATTGAAAATTTCTGCGTCTGTATTGGAAAGCGTCTTACAAAGAGAGTTATGTTTTACGTTTAGTGATTTGTAGCTTACATGTAGAATGTGTTGATAAAGTAGCTTACAAACTCATTCAATGAAAGACGTAAACATCAGAGGCTAAGTTATATTCATTCTTGTTTTACTGATGTGAGATCGTAGTAAAATAAAAAATCGGTGCTTTACTCTTTTATGCCCTCTATGTAATAAATTGTATGGTGTACTTTTCTGAACAAAGCAATAAAATGTTTAAATTTATTTAAAAACAATGCTTAGAGGAAGTAAAAAAATATATGAATATTTTGATATAATCAGATGTACAGAAATCTTGTCCAATATGTAATATAAATAATTTCTTACTCTTCTAAGAGTTACTTTTTTTCTTGATAGAATCTCAATTTATATGTTTTGTGATTCTTGACGTCAAGGATATTAAAAATATACTCTGAGCAAACAGAAAAGAGCAGTTATTTTAGAAAAATGTACCAATGTGTGTTTAGAAAATATTTATATCGATTGATGATTAACCCTAATCAGAACTAAAACTAGAAAACTGACTATCAGAGGGTGCCTACTAACATTACACTGAAAGCTATTTGAGTTTATCGCGCCATATATATATATATATATATATATATATATATATATATATATATATATATATATATATATATATATATATATATATATATTACAAAATACGTCTTTCCCGAACACCTTGGCCTTGACACATTGGTTGTAAATAGATGTTAAACACAAAGTCTCGTTGTTGTTGTTGTGACAAAGACAGTTGTTGTTGTTGCTGTTGATGTTGCTGTGGCAAAGGGACTTGTTGTTTTTGCTGTATCTGTTGTGTTGTCGAAGGCAGTTGTTTTTGCAATGGCGAAGGCAGTTGTTGTTGTCGTCGTCAAAACTTGAGCATAAATTACAGACATGGATGTTGACTCTTTGACGTCTTCTGTTATGATGGCAAAAAATGATTTTATTTTATAGACTATTCCACGTGATCTCATTTACATTTTGCTCTGAAGTGAAAATTGTTAACAGAAAAAGAATATCTCCCCCTCATACAATTTCTCTGAAGTACATGGACTCCGGAATAGTAGTTTCCGGTGTCTTTGAACTTCGGAATCAAAGGTCTCCGGAATCCTTGGACTCCTGGTCCAGGGATTTGGAAACCTATCCATCAACGGAGGCGCCCCCGGGGTCAGTTGCTGAACCATGTTCGAATAAAAACATCAGGTCCTTGTTTTTCATGCACACTGAATATATGTTATACAGACTTTTAATGCATTACATGTGATGTTCTATAATGGACACATGAACAGTTTTATAACAGACATATGAAAATAAGAAAAATGCACTATACATCAAGTGTCGTACAGCGTCCATGTGCTAAGGTGTGAATACATCCAAGATATGTCTTTTATCGGCAAAGGGATTAAGACTAGTTTTGTTAAGAACAACAGTGTGCAGTTGGTGATGGAAATATCTATTCCATTTTAAACAGTCATGTTTTGTTATCGTGTTGAATATCAGATTGTACGACTGTCCTACTGACACCCTTATAGCTCTTTTCTTTTCTTTCTGGCGATATATTTCTTTGTCCTCTTGAATGATCTTTTTTCTCGAATATAAAGCTATACATCTTAGGTTTTAGACCTACAAATTCCATCATGACATGTCAATGAAATTCGTCTTTTCCCCACCATTTTTTTTTTGTTCTCATCGCTATGGAGAAAATGTGTGACTGTAAAGCAGAAAGCAGCGCAAATATATTGCTTTTAACTGACATTTGTGTAAAAGCTGTATCCCGTTACCATGGTCATGGTATACCTAAGTATAACTATCCTTCTATTCGAAACTTCCATACCCCCTCCCCGACACTCCTTAAGTTAACTGGTATGGATATGATTTTTTTTGAATATCTAAAATGTATAAATTTGCTGGTTTAGAACATTAAATTGAACAATTCTAAAAGAAACGTCGACGTCGTGGCGCCAGGAACAAAAAGAATTACAGGTAAAGTAAAATAGTTTTGTTACATATAGAACTTGATGACCTTTGGGGGTGTTACTTTTAAAATGTATGCCGCAAAATACAATTCAGTTGAATACGTGGATAAAACAGGTACATGTACGTTTAAATGTTCCATAAAGAGATTTTTAATTGCATACACTCTATGAATCAGTAATGAAAACCTCACAACCAGAAATCTGATTAAGGTGACGTACATGTACATATATAGAAGCAGTCAAACCACTTTCAAGACCTCGCCAGTCTTAGTATTTTACAAGATAGTTTGTACTTATCCTTGAAAAAAAAACTCGATATATTTATAGAAATAATTCTAATAGCTATTAATTTAGTCATTTTAAATTTTATCTTTATCGTCATTTAATTCATAATTATCATATTTGTCTCATATAGTTATTTAGAATTCTGTTTAATCTCATGTCACTAATAAGGCAGCAATCATATTCTTTGCTTATATATTTACTGTAACATTTCTTTCGGGTGGGTGGAGAGGGGCATTCTATTGAACAATCAATATGTACAAAATCCGCTTCAATAAAAAATATCAATTGCATTGCATCCAGGGAGGGGGATGTTTCATTTCGAAGTCGATGTGAAAGAATTCAATGCGTATGTATTACATACACATGCATTAATTTTTTCTTTCTGAAAAAAAAAAAATCGGAGCACCTAATTAAAACTGTATTGAACAAACAATCAATTCATTTCTATCTCTATCTCGTCAATTACGCTGCTGCTCATTTTTTTAAATATGTAAATTTAAGAAAAAATTATATTTAATCTTTCTGGCAAATGTATCTGAATGTTGTATTCTTATCATCTACGCATAGTCATTTGATAAAATACATGTATACAACATTGATGTTAGGAACTATTTCCCCGTAAATTACTATCCCCGAGATTTTTTAATAACCCTTATTTACGCAGTTGTAAAAAAATGATCTACAAAAAAAAAAAAAAAAAAAAAAAAAAAAAAAAAAAAAAATTGTCCTCTCAAAAGATTTTTATCTTGCCGCATCCATTCTCGCTTAGTGATAATTCTCAATAGAAAATTTATCTAGGGTGAAATTCTGGTATTTTTTTTTAACGTCCATCGTTTGTCGCTTACAGGTGCATGTATTACGTGTCTCCTATCGCCAATGAGCAACAACGAAATATTTCGATTACTGTGAATTTCGAATATATAAGGGGCGGTAAGACTTTTTTGAATAGCATACCCCGAGCAAACATGAATCGAACCCTGGTTCGCTTTTGGGGTTCGCTCTGGTGTTAGGTTGTGTCTAGTCGGTTATGAAGTTGTATTGAAAATCATACATCAAGACTTTTGACATGTCCGGATCGTTTAGTAACTCGAGCTCCACACCAGTCTTTTAGGAGCGGCCTGCCAAGCTAATCCCGGGGCCGTGTAAAAATGTGCCGCATCCAGACCAACACAGACTACGAAAATTTTCGAAACCATCCTCGAGCAAGTGAATGTCCATATTTATAACTGTAATATATCGTCTGGTCAATGCTTTGTTCTCTTTCAAAAAACAGATACTGTAAAGAAAAAAATGAATATCAGTGTTGTTGTTAACATTCGACAACCCTGATATTTCATATTTATACTTGTAATGTTGTAATGAGGTGGCATCTGTTGTGTGTTTTTGTTACTATTGGAACAAACAAATGGGGGTGGGGGTGGGGGTGGGGGGAGGGGTGAACAATAGAACAGAGAGTTTGTGGAGAAAAATTGTTCAAAGGATTGGGTGAATAATGGGAACAATAGAACAAAGGGCAGGATGTTTGTTTCCATGGTTACTTACGATGTCATTGACTCCACATTGTTGCTTTGTTATTTACTATGTTGCATTGTTATTTACTATGGTTATGGATGGTGTAAATGATTTCATATTCTTTCTATTATTATTGCTATGGTTATGTATGACGTAGAGTAAGAGGTTCCCGATTCCCACCTATATCTCATGCCGACTAGCTGTCATCCCCCACACACATTCAAGGGTGTGCCTAAGTGTCTGGCTACCAGAATTCGTCGCATCTCTTCATCCCCTGCCTTATATCAGGAACAGAGCAATCTCCTAAAGTCCCATTTATGCAATAAAGGCTACAAAGCCCACAACGTACAAACTGCTATTGATGAGATGACAGGACACGACAGACAAAACCTCTTACTTTACAAGGAGAACGAAAATAGCAGCAGGGTCCCTCTGGTAACCACATACCATCCCGTCCTTAAGAACCTCAGCGGTATTCTTAAAAAGAATCTGCCAATTCTCCACTCTAACAAAAGAATGGCAGAGGTCTTTAAGGAACCTCCATTGGATGCCTACAGGCGCCCGAGGAATTATAAGGACATGGTAGTTAGAACCAGATTGGACAATCCATTACCTAACATAGGCTTTAGAGCTTGCTCTGGCAGAAGATGTCTTCTCTGTAAGCACAGCTCTGACACAGACAGCTTTAAAAGCCCCGTTACAGGCCGCAGCTACAGATTTCTAGGGAATTTGTCTTGTCAAACAGAAAACTGCATATTTCTCAGCAGCTGTAAAGTTTGTTCCAAACAGTACGTTTGGGAAACGGGAGATATCCGCAGGAGAATCAATAATCACCGTTCGACCATTAAGACCAAAAAACTCAATGAACCCGTTGGGGAACATTTTAACCTTGAAGGTCACAAATGGGAGGACATGACAATAGTGGTTATTGACCATAATCCGAATTGGACCGATGCTCAGAGAAAAAGCAAGGAAAAGTTCTGGATGCACAGACCGAAGTCATTCCGCCCTAATGGCATCAACAAACTAAATGACTTCACCAGGATGAACGTGAATTAGACCCAATTCATGATTGTAACAAACAAGTTCATTATCTCTTTATAGTGTTAACTGTACCGGTAATTCGCTTTATCAATTCTGGAACAACCCACGCATAGATTTTTTGCTTATATTTTTGTTTATTATTTCTTTTATCCGATAAACATTCTAAAACATTTCCAAATTACATTTATAATAATTTGACAATTTCTATTGTTCGTGTCGTTGGTCATTTTTAATGCTTTATATAAATTTCCATCCTTGACCTTGCATCTATTTAGTAGATCCGACACTTAGGAGATACAGTGTACAGTGTTGTTTTTTTGTTTTTTAGTGCTTTCTATATATATATATATATATATATATATATATATATATATATATATATATATATATATATATATATATATATATATCATACACATATTAAAGTACATATTTCTTTGCATAATTTATCATAAAACAGTTCACATGCCTCAGACTTTTCTTATGGTAATGCTTTTTGTAAAAGTC